ACAATTTATAAAATAATGATGTACAAATTGGATTAACTAATTAAAGAATTTTCTTATCATAAACAATTTCTATAGTTACATTTAATCAAATTATTAACATCATAAATATAGTATCGTTTCTAATTTTCTTTTCTTTCTTTCTCTCTCTTTCTCTTTCTGTTTCTTTTTTGTTTTCATATTTTAATCAAAGAGAAAGAATATATCAGTCACAAAAAGGTAACAAGTTAAAAATCACAACACTTTAATATTGTATATGAGATCTTGACTACATGATCTGATCTAGAACGGAAGAGAAAATAAGGAGAGAGAGAGAGAGACAGAGAGTGTGGGGGGTGAGAGACAGAGAGAAAACACAACTTGAAAAGTTACATCGAAGGATAAAGAAATAGGTAGCAAGTTTCATTTGGTGAAAATCAATTCTCATATGAAAAATAATAAAAAAAAAACAAAATTCCAATTATTGTTTTCTTTTCTTTTTTTAATTTTTAATATCATCAATGTATAGTGCATTTTTAGAAGAAAAAACAAACAAACAAACAAACCAAAACAAAACAGAAAAGAAACAACTCACTGCAAAACAGTGTTTTAATGTCAACGTTGAAATACATACCTAATATATCTGCATATAAAATAATGATTAGAAAAATTAAATTATGGTTAGTGATTATATTGATTGTTTTTGAAGGAAAAAAATAACATTGAATTAAAGAAATTATTTAGTTATTTTTGTTATAAATCTGTAATGATGTTGTAAATTAGGTTTTAGTGGCCCGTTATCTCATATATAACAACTTACGTGAGATTGAGTTTGTTCACATTTAATTCGGTTAAGTCATTTTGTTAACTTATTAACGAACTAAGTCATCCGTACAATAACAACAACTTATCTATATCATTATATCTTTATTATTGTTGTGAATGTATGAACATGTATGCTTGAGCATTGCTTACTGCCTACGCATGTATTCACGTGGCTAGCCTTACTACTAACCGTTTAATTGATTCGATGATTCATTCATTTCACTATGTATATATATGTCCATGTTATTCATGTTCACAGCTCTCTCTCTCTCTCGCTTAATTGTACTCGCTTACTCGTATTCATATTCGCTGACTTGCTCGCTCGCCCACTTTCCTTTCGGCATAACTCTTTCACGTTTGTTTAACGCACCTGTAATTTTGGATATCTGTGTGTGGTCCCATAATAAACGTAATCAACACTTCGTATTCCCCTTCTGACTAATATACCGTTGTGGCGTTATTTAGTGATGGTTATCAAGACGAACTGTATACGAAGTTTAAGGATTATATTGAATACCGACCACTACACTAACTACAATTGTATTGTGTGATTATCGTTATCGACTTGAATCGCATTGGTGAATAACAGAATGAAATAAGTTAAATACGAGAATGGTTTTTTGAATACGTATATTTCGTGCAATTGTTGATCGGGAAGTAAAACAAAGCAAAATGACGCTCAATGGAGAAGACGAGTGAACCAACATCAATTAACCAAGCCTGAATCGATATTTATATTCAGATAAAAATAAGTTACATACACGTGATGGATAGGATAAGAAGTGCACACACATACGCTTACATAAAAACAGTCATGGTTGACAAGCGAATAATCAACAAACTCAAAATATGACTCAGGAAGAATGAGCAAACTGGTTTGTCCGGAAACTAGAATAAGTTATATGGGCTTAACAGTAGCAACCAACACTACAATGCTAAACTCTGAGACAAAACCGTAAGACAAATGATGACTTTCATGTTTAACCAAAAACATTTAGTAAGTTCAGTTGACAACTAGTTATTAGATAAGGAATTACAAACAAGATATCAAAGATAAAAACTAATCTGACCCTACTATCGTGGAGAAGTACAACACATCGAATAAATTCAAAGACAACTGAGATGTGTCTTAGTTTCTAGTGCAAACTGTGGTAATAATGCAAAGCATTAATTATAGAATCTTTTCATTATTTTATTCTGGTACTTTTTACTACGAAACCTTTGATGACTTCATTTCAGTCGTTGATTTCAGTGAGGTAATAAATATAAATCTCTAATTAAGCGGAGATGGATGGTGACTAGCAGTGAAAGTCACTAACATCATTTCGTTGTGTTTGGGAAAATTAAAACAACTAATATATATGAGTTAAAATAAATCTCTACTGTTATTAATGATCAGTGGTGATGCGATTTCAAATTTTATGTATAATTGAAGCTACAACTGAAAAGAGTAGGATCCAGAGTGATTTGAATATTGATCAAATCTATCACTAATACACAAATATCACTGATAAACCACATGATCAGATTAACTTAACAAATTTGGATATATATGGTGTATGCTACTTATGTTGAGAGAAATAAGTATTACGTAACACCAAGCAGAAGTGGAATGCCTGTAGGCAGATGGTTGAGAAGATCAAATTGAAGAGAACAAGAATTTAGAGTGACAGTAATTATAATAACAATAGGAATGAATGGACGATGAATTTTGTGAAAACCAATTGATGGAAGATGTGGAAATGAAGTATTTCATGTATGATTTTCATATTTTATATGTATGTTTTGTAATCTCTTCCACTTAGTTTTGTGTTTGTATCTGGTTACACGGAACTCACTTTGTGTTTCCGGTTTTGTTGACGCCTAATATGTAATTGCCAATCATACCGTTTAAGGCATCAGATGAACTATAAAACTGGAGAGGTTTGAGGAATCCACCAGCTCAGTTAGTGTTTATGTATGTGTGAAACACAGGTTAAGTTCTCTTTCTGCGTTCTTTTGTCAATTATAACTAAATTTCACAGTCTTGTTATATTTATGTTCACATAATTACCGAAGTGACCTTCAATAGAGCAATTTCAATGTGACCTACCTTCTTTATTCTATCCACAAGCATTAAATGGCACAAAACAATCTCCGTTTAATATTAATTACCTTACGTAAACTAATAACTTATAAAGTATTCATAGACGTTTAAAAAATGGATTGTTTTTAAAAAATTAACAAAACAGTGTCTAAGTTGTTAGAGCACTAAGCATTCAGTCATTAAATAGAAGTTTTGAAGATGGCTACTTCCGATTCCTCATAAGTTGTTAAGAGAGAAAACAAACCTTCAGATGTAAAGAACAACTAAGAATCAAGTTCATGAGGAATATCTTTGATTTTACTGTATTTTAAATTGTCTTCTGTAGGCTTTATCCAGTTTGCTAATGTTTTGAAAACAATACATTACTCTAAGCCATCTTAATATTTGTCTATACGTTTACATAACCTTTTGAAGTAGGTTAAAGCAGGCACGTAAGTCTTTCTCATTCTGAGTATTGCGCCACCTGGTTATAGAAAATAATATGTTAATCAATAAATAGATTAATTTATGGAAACTGCTGACAACAAAAAAATACCATGATTATCTATAAAGATTACCTACAAATCCAATCGACTCGGTTAAGAAAGGGTTAGAATCGTAAGCTTGTATACAGTAGAAATTAAACACTGAAACATTCAAAAACAATTCTTTGTTTGACCATGGTAAATATGCAACAAGACTACGCAACCCAATATAATCGATTTGAACAACTATGGATGGAAAATTAACTGAAGTATTTTCATAAATCTCCTGGAACTTAGTGCTCAGGGTACTTTGCATATGAAAGATATTTGGCTACAGACTCAACCTATTATTAATGTTTAAAATATTACCGTTAGGCTAAATCATCAGAAATCTACTCAATAAACTTGGAATTGTTGACCCATGAATACAAGCGTTTAGGTGAACAAATCGGGTTAGTAAAGTATAAATGAAATCATCTTAGAAGCATTATTTCACATTGTAGAAATAAAAGCCGCTCAATTCTTTTTAAAAGCCTGTGTTGATTATATCATCTAAAACATCAATGACCGCTTCAAAGTCATCAGTTAAATTTAGAGAATATATATATATATATATATATTCTGGTGATATAATTTATTAGCTGTGTAGTTTAAATCTGGTCACGGAAGCGTCAACTAAGTTATTAAAGTTTTCAAAGACTGAAATATCAAAGAGTAATATATAATACGTATTTTTTCAATGAGTTTGTAATAACAAACAATGGTCTCTGTATTGTTTGATAATAAACATATATTTTTACCAAACTAAAAACTTTCATTAAGATTAACTGTATTCTTAAATTACAAAACGTATTCAGTAATACAAGTGATTTGAATTTTATAGTATGCATGATGAATTAATGTTCTAGTTAAACAATTGTTGAAAACCAGGAAAGATTGAATAACTATTTCGTTCTAGTATGAAATTTCTTAACAGTGAACAACCCCTTTTTTTACCGAGGATCAAAATTTAATCATTAAACAATTGTAAGTTGAGTAAAAAAGAACTCCGCCTGGAGTCGCTCCGGGGGCTACTGTCGGTCCCAAGCCCGGATAAAGGAGGAGGGTTGGGCATGGGGTTAGCGTCCCCATCCCGTAGAAAACTAACCCGCCAAAAAAACGCTAACTCGTATTTACAACTGAGGAACATCTGGAACTCAAAGCAACTGTCAACCAACACCAAGGTCAGGATTTTCAATACAAATGTCAAGGCAGTTCTACTGCATGGGGCAGAAACCTAGAGAACTACGAAAGCCATCATCCAGAAGATACAGGTGTTTAGTAACAGTTGTCTACGCAAAATACTTCGGATCCATTGGCCGGACATCATTAGCAACAACGTATTGTGGGAGAGAACAAACCAGATCCCAGTGGAGGGAGAAATCAGGAAGAAGCGCTGGAAGTGGATAGGACACATATTGAGGAAAATACCCAACTACGTTACAAGACAAACCCTCACATAGAATCCTCAAGGCCAAAGGAAAAGAGGAAGACCAAAGAACACATTACGCCGAGAAATGGAGATAGACATGAGAAAAATGATTGGGAATTGGATGGAACTAGAAAAGAAGGCCCAGGACAGAGTGGGTTGGAGAATGATGGTCAGCGGCCTATGCTCCATTGGGAGTAACAGGCATAAGTAAGTAAGTAAAAACAATTAACAAATAAATTTTTTTTCTTTTTGATAATCCATATAGTATTCATATCTAAAAGTGTCGAGTAAACTTACTTCAACTAAGAAATAACCTGATATAGGTTTATGATCACTGCATATATAATTTGGATGTGATCTGTAAACAATTGGTGTACAACCTCGACCAAACCAAATAATTCGATCACAATAGGCAGGAATACGATATTTTTCACTGACGGAAATGCAAAAAATTACTTTGTATGAATAAATTATTGAAATCAATTATTAAAAAAAAGAAGTATGGGAGATATTTGTTTCTCGAATATGATTTTTCACGATTTAATATGATTAAGTGTTGAAATATGCAATTTTTTTTACATTTATATATATATATATATATTCTAGACGTATTTGAATGGAAGCTTGTAGTTGTTTAAAATTATATTCACGAGTAAATCCTCATACTGAAGTACTCATTGATATTATAACATCAACTTGTATTTTGATAGAGTTTTGTTCTGTAAGCTGGATGTTTTGATCGTGGAGCTTTCATCGTTCTTCTGAACGACATCATCAGCACAAACTTCAGATAGAACACTTCACTTCTATCCGAAGTTTGTGCTGATGATGTCGTTCAGAGGAACGATGAAAGCTTCAGAACCAAACCATCCAGCTCATAGAACCAAACTCCATCAAAATCATCCACTTGAGTTACAAATTTTCTCCATCAACTTATATTCTCCATAAACGTTTATAATACACGCTACACTAACTAGGTTTTTTGTAATTTAGAAGGTAATCGAAATCTATGAAACGACATTTGTTTATAGACTTTTGAACTCTTGTTATAATTCATGTTGTAGAATGTTCTTTTACATAAGAAGGATTATATTTACAATATTTTATTCAGCTTAATAAATTTATTTACACCCTTGCCTATACTATACTAATGTATATTCAAAGTAACTTCCAACTAAACTCTTTCATGTAAGCAATTTCAACCTATTTTATAATTATGATTTCTAAATATCACAGGTTGTAAAGTATCTGATAAGAACCAAACGAAATAAAATGAATCCATATTATTCTGCTAGAATCTTTGCTCTTGCTCTCTTCAAAATGATAATACGGAACTATGCATATGAAATATTCTCAACAGATTTCTTCGACACTACACTTTATAGACGAATCAATCAGGTTTCAGAGAGCAGGTCTTGGATTTTGGCACAAAATTCATTTATTAATTTGGCCAAATAACACTTTGACATTATAAGTGATATCACTTCGTGATGAAAACACTAAATGGAATTCCTAGCCCCAACATCCAACTTTATATTGTAATCTCGATTCTTCACGCTAATTTAAAACTCTGATTTAACCCTAGTAAGTAGATGGCCATTCCCAAGGTCATGTTAGTGTTTCTTAAATGTCATTCATAATATATAGTCTCACCCGAATTTCAAAAAAAAATTTCAAAGAAACATTTCTTTACTTTTCATTCAACTTTTGAATAATTAGGAGACAAGTTCACTCTTAAAACATTCATTTTATTAGTGACTTTCATAAGTAATTGTTAATAGATAATTGAAGTTAAACTAATAAACTGTTTTCATTCAAATATCACGAAATTGTACATTATCACTTTTCAACTGATTTACTTTGTAACAGTTAAATTCATGAGTTGGTCTAAGCTAGACCACCACGGAAAACCTGGAAGTACTGGATGGTTGTTTCATCTTAGCAGGGGACTTCACATCAATACTCATCCATGATCCCGAACTCGAGACTTTAGACAATATAAATACTTGAAATATCATTATTCATATATTACTTACTTACTTACGCCTGTTACTCCTCGTGAAGGAGCATAGGCCGCTCACCAGCATTCTCCATCCAACCCTGTCCTGGGCAATCCTTTCTAGCTCCGTCCAGTTGTAATTCATCCTTTTCATATCTGCTTCTATTATCCGACGCAATGTGTTCTTTGGCCTTCCTCTTTTCCGCTTCCCTTCAGGATTCCAAGTTAGGGCTTGCCTCGTGATGCAGTTTGACGATTTGCGTAATGTATGTCCTATCCATTTCCATCGTCTTTTCCTAATTTCTTCTTCAGCTGGAAGTTGGTTTGTTCTCTCCCACAGAAGGCTGTTGCTGATGGTATCCGGCCAATGGATGTTGAGTATCTTGCGAAGACAGCTATTTATAAATAGTTGTACTTTCTTGATTGTGGTTGTTGTAGTTCTCCAAGTTTCAGCTCCATACAGTAGAACTGCCTTGACGTTCGTATTGAAGATTCTCACTTTGATATTGATTGAAAGTTGTTTTGAGTTCCATATGTTCTTCAATTGTAGGAATGCGACCCTTGCTTTGCCGATCCTCGCCTTTACGTCTGCATCGGATCCTCCTTGTTCATCGATGATGCTTCCCAGGTATGTGAAGGACTCTACATCTTCCAGAGTTTCGCCATCAAGTGTGATTGGATTGCTGTTCTCCGCTTTGAATTTGAGGACCTTAGTTTTCCCTTTGTGTATGCTGAGGCCTACTGATGCAGAGACTGCTACCACACTGGCTGTCTTCATCTGCATCTGTTCGTGTGTACGTGATGGGAGGGCTAGGTCATCTGCGAAGTCCAAATCGTCTAATTGATTCTGAGCTGTCCATTGTATTCCGTGTTTTCCTTCAGATGTTGAGGTCTTCATAATCCAGTTGACCACCAGAAGAAAGAGAGATCCATGTAGCCTTGTGTATACGCTTGTGCGGAAATATTGTGCCTCCTATGACCAATTTGTTGAATGCACATAGATTTGCAAATCTTTCTCCATTTTCGTTTCTTTCTCCCAGTCCATGTCGTCCCATAATATCTACATATCCAATGTTGTCTATTCCGACTTTGGCATTTAGATCTCCCATCAGAATAGTTAGGTCCTTTCTTGGGCATTTCTCAATGATTGACTGCAGCCGTTCGTAGAATTGATCTTTGATGTCGTCGTTGCTATCATTGGTGGGTGCATAACATTGGATAATGTTCATTGTGATTCCCTCCTTCTTTGTTTTGAATGATGCTTTGATGATTCTGGATCCGTGAGATTCCCATCCTACAAGTGCATTTCGTGCTACTTTGGACAGCATAAGAGCGACTCCCTGAGTGTGTGGAGCATTGTCCTCTTCGTGACCGGAGTATAGCAGCATCTCTCCCGTAGCTAGCTTTTTCTGTCCAGCTTGGGTCCAGTGGGTTTCGCTGATTCCCAGTACTGCTAAGTTGTATCTCCTCATTTCCATTGCTATTTGACTGGTCTTCCCGGTTTCCCACATTGTTCGGACGTTCCATGTACCTATAAAAATTTTTGCTCTGGTTGTTAGAAGGGGCATCGGCCTCGTGGCTTCCGAAGGAACTCGGCTTTCGCCATGAAGCGTCATAATTCTTCTAAATGAAGACCTTCTAACTCCCAGGGCACAGTTAAAATGGTTTGGATTGTTTTTTCTGGTAAGCGTTTTTTTAGCGAGTTAGTTTTCTACGGGATGGGGACGCTAACCCCATGCCCAACCCTCCTCCTTTACCCGGGCTTGGGACCGGCAGCAACCCTATAAGAGCTACAGGCGGAGTTATGAATTATTTGAAATCTTCTTACTGTTTAAAAAAATATAAATACAAATTAAGTCGATGAATTTCACTGAGATTTTTCCGATGAGCTGATTCAAAGCCATAATAATTACTTAACAAATATTGATGGAAAAAACTTCTTATTCATGACTTTCTAAAATGGCTTTAAAACAAAGTTTTGTATTTGTGATTCTGAATGATCCGTTTTTTTATTTGGTTACATTATTGTTTATTCATGCTAATTCATTAATGCTCTTACATTATCGAGATAATTAACAAAAATCGGAAAGAACTAAACTTAAGCTTTGTTCTGACCAGGAACTATTATTAGTGAGAACTTACAACTCAGGATCATTAAGTTTTTAACAAAAGGTTACTTTTAAACCAAAGTTTTATCAAATGAACTATATTTCTTACTCCAATTGGTTTATTATACTATGTATTGTTTCATTCTTGAAATCGTTAAACTTCACTGATTGTGGTTTCTCATGAGAATGTCGAAGTCCGCATTGAAGTTAGTTAATTAGTGAATGAACAGTTATTTTGTTGAGATGGTTCAATTTAAGCAGTAAAAGCCATGATTTCGTTTCTACGTGGAGTAACAGGTGTATACTGTGTACATTTCACAAACTAAGGAAAAATGTTTGTCCAGGAAAACAGTTTGTTTACCCAATATTAGTTTATGTTAATTCCGTAATTTGTTATAACTGAAAACAAAGTGATATAGGCATTTCAAGAGTTGCATGGGCGATTGCCACTTCTTGTCTGCCCAAACGGTGTAATGAACCTTTTTGAGATATCTGAAAAGGAAACTGGATTAGTAATGGTCCTGGCGACCAAAACTTTTGACTATAAAGATCAAAAGATAACTGTTGATGGTCGACCACACATAAACTCTTTAATAATAGTTCTTTAGGTATTAGCTCCGTACTTAAATGTTCTAATCTCTGGTGACAGAAATCCATTTGTGAATTGAAGTATGCTATTTTCAAGATTAACATTGCAAAGTCCATCCTAATTTGCGGGGATACGTTATCACTATAGATGTTACCAGTCTAAGGAAAACACCTTACTTCCGTCACACCCCAATACGGGAGGTAGTGCAACTTCATCCTCGGACCATAAGTTTACTGATTTTAGTCAATCTACTTGATATGTTAGAATCTAAAAATCAAGTGTTTCAGATAATATAACTCCATTGGGTCATCATGATGAATAAGCTCGACCACTGAGTAAAGGTAGAAGCCCTGTTAAAGATTATGTTTGGGCAACGTGTAACATTTCGAATTTCTTAAGATGATATTGTTTCATTTCAATGAAATAAAGAACTAATCAAACAAGATTGACGTGGTTTTTTATCAACCTATCAACTTCCTCAGTTAAACAACAATGAACATACCTTGAATCATATGTCTGACAATTAATATCGAATTTATATGTTGGCGGGAAAGTAATTTTATGTTCTCGAAAACCTTGAAATATCTTTCTACTGTTCATTTCTTTTGATAACTTTGAAAAAAAAACAAAATAAAATCATTGGTTGAATGAATCAATAAATAAAAGGAAAATAAAACTATGTTACATTGAATTAGCTAATAATTTTATTTCTAATAGTTGAGATTATGAGTCAATTGAAGCTAGACCACCATGGAAAACCTAAAAGCACTGGATAACCGTTTCGTCCTATTGTGAAACTCCTCAGCAGTACACATCCACGACCCGGCCTCGTGAGGTTCAAACCCAAGACATATCAGTCTTGCCTGCGAGCACTTAAACTCTAGACCAATGACCCAGCATCCAACAATAATAATGTGGATTAGTTGAAGACCGAGACGTTCTGGGTTGGAATCTCGCGAGGCGGGATCGTGGATACGCATTGCCGAGGAGTCTCAGAATGGGACGAAATGACCGTCCAGTGTTTCCAGGTTTTCCATGGTGGTTTAACTTCAATTAACTCATAAATTCAACTATCAAAATAACTATAATATCCACAAAACCCCTTCTGATATTCGTTTTATACCTGTTTGTGATAAAATAATGTCAGTGATGAAAGAAAAATAAACTGATAATAAGGTTAGGTAAACTGGACCAAGTAAAAACTATGTGAAAATTACAGGTAAAAAATAGGTTTCTCCTATCTTATGAAGTTTATTGACAAAAAAAAACTTCGACTGTGATGAAATATCTTGGAGATAGTTCATAATGCTTTGTATATCACTTTTCCTGATACACCCAATGGCATATAAATTTCAGAAAAAAATAAGATACGTTGAATTCAGTTTATGATTGTATACAGCAGATCAAAAGCCACAAACACACAACACGAAGACAAACAGAATTAGGAGTACGAATGAATACAAGAGAATACGAATAAGCGAATTAATTTGAATGAATTAAGAAGAAGCATATATGTATGGAAAAGCAAATGTGCCATTAAGCGATTTTAGCTAGTTAGAGGTATATACTTGTAAACTGTAACACGTGATCAAGCATACATGATCATACAAATGTGATGATGATAATAATAATAATAGTACAAAGAGATAGACACATTGTTACTACTCGAATGACACAGTGTCTGCTGTTTAATAAGTTAATTGAAGGGCTTATTAAAATTAGAAGTAGACAAATTTAATTGTAGTGCAGGTATTATAAGATAATGATTTAATCATTATGTAAATTATTTATTGTTTGTTAATATAAAAAATTAAACAATATGATAACACATCATGTGGTAGAAAATGTTAACCCTAAAGATTACCGAAGACACTATGATGAAGAAAACTCACGCTGACTTGATACAAAACAATCAAGATATCTTGAACTAAACTATTGGATGTAATTAATTGGTACAGTAAAATAATTAAGATGAATTCCTGTTGCATTTCTCAATTTTTATTTAATTTCAACATTAAAATTTTCCCCGGAAAATAACAGTTCCATTATCTGATTACTCTGGAATTGATAACTGACTCTTGAAATGTTTACTATTTTTCAACCTCTTTTGAATATATCAAAGGGCATCTAAGGTATTATCATTTTTATTTGAATGTAAATTTTTACTTTAACACTGGTTCACATGAACGTCTAATCTTATTATATCGAAGCAGTCGAGAAGACCTGTTACTTTTCTTATCATCATAACACTGTCAACTCTTTTGGATTGGTAACTGACAAAATCTTTGTAAGAATACAAAATGTTTTATTGCTCATATTAAATGAGATCAGCGAACAGGAAGTTTACTGAATAACAGTTCATTCTGTAATGCGTTATGACCGTGAAACATATATTTTATGTGTAGGATGTGCGTGTAGGTTACTAATATGAGCTATATATATCTTAGTAGCATTACTTATGTATAGTAGAACCAGTTGGGAATATTACTGACGTTTTACTTTGAGTAGTAGGAATTATAAACTGACTTATGGAATCGTCAATCTTTGGTTATTCTTCCCATGTACTTGCTGGCTACTATTCGTTTAGATTGAAAAGAGCTAGAAGCGGTCAGATTAAGGACTGGGATCAGTGTATAAAATCATTAACTATTCATGTAAGCCATAATGGAAGGAATAGATTTTTCCGTCTAGGATCAAGAATATTCTTCTGGCATAAATATACCTCTCGTTGAATGCTGGAGAAAAAATACTTACATTATTAAAATTAGGCTCACGGAAAATCGATCACAATAAATACGGTATTAACTCGTAAATTAGATAGGTCTAACAGATCAAAGTACTTTTTTATTGTCTAAATACTAAATACAAATTGAAATGAAAACCTACCTCGTCATTCTTAAGTAGACTGACGTAATTGTTTTGCCGAATTAATCTCCTGACATTATCTGAATCCAAACCGGTTATTCGATAATTCAAATCTCCAAATACAAAAATTACACTACATCGAAGAAAATATCAGTTTAATAGAAGAATTCACTGTCATTTATTTTCTTATATATATATATATATATATATATATATATATATATATATCACAAGAGATTAGTTTTCATATTATGGTAATCTGAAATAAAGAATACAAATTTCCTTTACCTAATCAACATGGTACTGTGTCTAAACACATTTGTAGTAATCCTTTGAAGGAAATACTTGAAATGTTTTGAGCAGTTGTAGCTCCTATTGACTGTATATCAAATGATATTAGTCTTTACATAGTAATATCATAGCAGCATTAGTCAATCTGAGTCATACCTATCAAATCATTGTTTCGTTTGTGAAAACGACGCAAAATTCTTTGGTATAAATCAATCTTTCTTTTCACCTGTTAAATCTAGCTTTTCTCAGTTAAATCTCACCGACCAATCTTAGAATTTCATCATTTGCCTCTATGATAATGATCAAATTTTATAACTAAATCTTGAAGACAATTCTAAAGAGATCAGAATTCGTTCATATAATTTAAGGTAAAATAAGACATCAAATGGTACAATATTATAGAACGAATAAGACAGAGATTAAAAAAAGGTGAAGTATACAGCTTATGATTTTTATTGTGCAATAAATGTGCAAATAATTCAGACTAGAACATGTATGCATATCATTTAAAATATTCAGTTTACAATCTGATATTAATTATACTAAACACATTTATCAAACAAATAGTTTAACTATGCTATATTGGAACTTACTCATGTATTGAAAAATAAGATTTTTTCACAGGAAATGGAAAACGCTTATGATTTATAGGGAATAATAATGACATTTTACGTACAATTTCTTTGAAATCTTGATTACGACGATCAATTTTTTCTTTGCCAGCAGCCAAATGACAATTTACAAAACATAATGAAGTATTAAATATAGTTAGTCTAAGACATACACCACCTTTATTACCCTGAAGTAAAGCAAATGAAAGAGAAACATTTATGTACAAATCATAATAAATCCACCATGAATTTACATTTATAAAACTGTAACGAACGAGAAAAAAGGTGGGGACAACCAACTTATTGTGTTAAACAAAATAACGCAATATCTTGGTATAATATGAGAACCGTACATTGAATAAGTCATTTGCAAATTTCCATCATTTGTCCTCCACATTTTGTATGATTCTTCCAATTTACAATTCCTTTTTAATTCCCTTTCTATTCACTTCAACTTGATCTTCTTGTTCTTCTGCTGCCAGGTTTTCCAATTTCGATGGGTATTACATACTACTTATGTTTATCGACATAAATAACATACATCACAAAACCAGTATTCGGTATAAGCTTTTCATTTAAGTAGGAAAAGATGCTGGAGGTGGATGGAACATACGTTGCGTAAATCACCAAACCGCATTATGAGGCAGGGCTTAACTTGAAATCTTGTATGGAAAAGGAAAAGAGGCAAACCAAAGGACACATAGTGCCGGGAGTTGGGAGAATGAATAGTACCCACTAAAAGCTGAGAAGAAGAGCCTTGAACAGAACTGTTTGGAGATCCCTGGTCATTGGCTAATGCGTAAGTAAGTAATTTTAGAATAAAATATTTTACAACTGATATAATTCTATTTATTTCCACATAATGTTGTAACGATTGATATTCAAGCTATTTATCATTAATATACTGTAACAAAACGTTTAATGAAAACTAACAATTAATCACTCAAACATCAACGGACACATGAAATATTTGGTTTTAATCACTCATTGGAAATATATAATCAAAAAATTGTTAACAATAATAAACAATACTCTGGCAGGTTAAGCTAAATAACGTAATACAAATGTCCCGAAGTGTACATCAACTCTGAGATGCAGTTATATTCAGCTGACGAGTCACAAGTAGGACGAAACACGCGTTTTGTATTCTTCTGCTAGCCACCATCTATCTTTGTTTGTAATGCATGTAAAATTGAGGTAACATCGAGGTAATCCGCACACGATGTACATATTCCAATAAGAGACTGACCAATTGCAGTCCTAAACATTAATTATAAAATTCACACAAACAATATAAAATGATGCGCACTGCTGAGGAGTCCCACACCAGGACGAAACGTCCGTCCAGTGCTTTCAGGTTTTCCATGGTGGTCTAGCTTCAATTGACTCATGATTTCAACCAGTGAAATATGAAATGAATGTATTTTCAATTTTGTCTATACTATCAAGATTAATTTCTAAAAGCAATGTTTATCAAATACTTCTTGAATACCACAAAACTTATACAACTTACCATAACATTTAAAACACCAGTTGGAACAATATGTTGAGAGATTTCATCATGACGTAAATGAATGGACAATTTGGCTGAGATGTACACAATCATCATGATACCAGCTAGACGAACACGTCTAATGCGTATATAGCCCCCACCGGTGTACTGAAACCAATGAGCTGCAAAACTTTTAGTTGATTCAGTTTCATTTTGACAAACTACATTATACTTAGAACGAGGTGGTTTCAATAAACCACCTAACGCTTCTTCTATTTGTTGAATCCATAAATCCTCTGGTCCTGACGAACTAGTCTTATTGAGAGTAATTACTTTAAGTCTTAAATCCAATTCTTGTAATCTGATCAAAGATAAATGTAAATGAACATAGATTTCAATGTACTCAATAAATAAAAGAAATAAGCACAATTAAAGTCCTTTGTAGATAAAAACAATTGTGCTTTCTACATAAGCTGAACAAATAACTTACCCAAGAACATACATATCAGCTGGTGGTTGACCTTCAGGAGGTATAAGCCAGTCATCTAAATTTAAATTACTACCATTACGACCATTCACATTCCATGTCCCAATAAATATACTAATCTTTCTGTTTTTAGGATAATTAATAGTTGAATTCGACAGAATGTTATTCTTTGGTTTAGTATATCTACTGGGAAAAATAGGACCAATATGATGATAGATAGTTAAACTTAGTTATCTGAATAGTTGATGTTGATAAATTATAAACCTTAAAATAAAAAACCATGTACTTCCCATGAAAAATTAAAAATTCTGATGATTAACGTTAATACAGCTTGAAATGGTATAACTTTTTCAATCCAAAGGGATATTTTGGCTAGTAACGTTATAATTTAATAACGTTTAAGAAGATTGTTGTTAAGATTTGAAATTTTGATGAGCAACACAGGAGAATATTTGGTTGATGTATATGGCAGTTTATTTCTAGCTTTGATCATGTTCATAACTATGAATTGAGGTTATCCAAACAACACAATCCATACTGTAGTTAAATGCTAGAAGAAATCAGAATAATCCTAAATAAGCATAAGATAGATGTGTTAGGTCGCTGGAGGTTGTCAAGAGGAGACTCGACTTAGGTTTCATCCTATTTGGCCAGCATTAACAAAGTATGCCTGTAAACATGAAAACTGTTCCTCCCTAGGGGTCTCGAACTCACGTCATCCACCTAGCTTCCATGTTTATGACATCACAAACTTCTGTTCGACTGAAATTTTTCAAATTAATTGGTGGCTAATGTTGAATTTGTCTAGTCCTTTGGTGTTGATGGAACTCCATTAGATTAGCTGAAGTGTGGCCACTAATCTCAATAACTTGAAATAGCTTCTTTTGCTATAAAAAACGACAATCAAATATTTTATCAGCTCATTGACAATTATTATTGTTGCCAAATCGCTAGATAAAATTTCCTTTAGTGTTTTGTGAACATCACGTGAATGAAGTATGAAAATTTTCACTTACCATTTATTCCATGAATCATTTGTGAAACGTAGATCGGAAAAACTATGCGGTGAAGTCAAACCCTAAAAATAGACAAAGTAACAGTAAAAGAATATAGTTTTAAAAAGTAATCTTATAATGGTTTTATTCAATATAATTCATGATAACTAATCGTTGAGACAGTTTTATGGGATAACTAAGCTGTACAATAGTATTTATAGACCATTTTGTTTTAACATTGAGTAGTTCATAGTAAAATAGACGAATGCTCTATAATTATCAAAGATAATCAAACTTATTCAACTATCGAATGTAAAACTCAGTGAAAATAAAGTGATGTTGTGTAATTTAATGAATTAGTCAAATTGTTTCGAAAGATCCAAATATTAAATATAATAAATTTATAGATTGAAGGGTGTAATTTCAAAGAAATTAAATTACTATAGACTACTCATTGTAAAATATAGTCTATAAATACTGTTACTAAACTTCAGAAAATGATACTGTCGAAAAGATAATTTTTCTCTCTGAAATCTTCTCAATCTTTTTTTGAAACGATATAGTAATGAGATACCATCAATGACAAACAGTTGAGTTTTCTCCTTGGTTCATCAGTCCTGTCAGTCTCTTGTTGAAACTTTTCAACTGTACAATTAGTTCTGATAGCAATTATATATATTGGTGGGACTATAATTTGTGGGCAACGTTTGAACGAACCTTATGTGACCTTGAGAGACTTCAGTCAATCAGAAAACATTCCGTATAGAGTAAGAATATATTATACAAAACGAAAAACAAATTATTGGATGCACTTCTTTAACATAATCCAAAAACGTTTCCAGGTTAGAAAGAGGTTCAGCAGTTCTGAAATGGTAATACATACTGTACAGGAACTCATTCATGTGACTCCACAACCTCTGAAGTTGTAATAAGGTTGCTAAATTCTTCTAGTCTCAACCACACTGCTTCTATACCGTTGGTGGGCTCTACAGAATGTCGCTTGTGAACGACAACTTAATGCAAATAACCGATTCTAGATAGGCATCTATACGCCCCCCAGTTGTCCGTGTATGTTGTGGTACCTGGCTACACATACTCCTGAGTAATTAATATCAGCTTTCCAACCTGTCGGTTTTTCATGTGCTGGAAATATTCCCTTTGCTATGATCATTCATATATATTAAATACCAGTAAAGTATCTTTAAGGAACTTCTACCTACCCAGTCTGCTCAAACACATTTTTGTCTTGCGAATTGGCGTTTTTAAACGACTGTTTCATCGATTTCTACGATTTTCCGCATTCCTCCAAACGATTGTTTTAAAACCCATCATCTTTATTGTGCATAAATCTCTACAATGCTCATACTATTGAACCACTGAAGCTTCAGTGACATCTGAAAGGATTGCAGCGAATGTTACCGATTCTCTTATTATCTAGTTTACAACAATTAGCATAACCTGTCTTAGTGTCAGTCGGTATCGAGTGAAAAAAGTCCTCGCTGTAGCAAACGTCTTCCTCCAATATGTATTGCACCGTAATACAATGTCGTCAGGATATTCTGTATACTGTCCATCAGTCATTGGAAAAAAGAAATCACAAATAATGTGGCTTATCAGTAATTCCATCTGTTGTGGCCGCTCAAATATAACGTCCTTATTGAAACCCACTAAAAGCCGATAGTACATACGTATTGGGTACTGAAATAGGCACCATGATAATGGAACCACTTACTCCGTTTTGATTGGCTCGTCCATAAATTATAATCTCGTCTAAATATCACTGTAATATTCATGTAGTTAACTAATGACACTATTCGTAACAATTATTAAATACTGACAGTCTGTCAAATGGTTATTAAAAAAAGACCACATGGCGTAAACGTCAAGGCATAGGCATTCAGAGATTTTTTATTGACACACTTTTTCTTTTTTACCTAAAGGTCTAATTTACGCACACAATTTGTATATTACCCATATAAAAAGATGAAAATTTTACCTAACTTCATAGTTATAGGCAAAGATGGATGGTGGCTAGTAGGGGAATACAGGACGCGTGTTTCGTTCTATTTAGGACTCGTCAGCTGTATTTACCCGCATCCCAAAGTTGATGTTCACTCCGACACTCCTCCAGGGCTCAAACCCATTACCGTTCTCTTCAAGCGCTATTGAGTTATCCACTTAGCTTCCGAGTCCAAATAGCCACTAGCTTGCACAATCGGGTAAGGTTTTAATTCATTTTGTATTGTTTGTATGAATCTTCCCATTGATGTTAAGGAATGCAATTGATTAGTCTCTTATTGACATATATGCATTGTGTGCGTATTGCCTTGAGTTCACTGCTAGCCACCATCCAACTTTACCTATAATGCTTGTGAATTAAGATAATATTGAAGCAATCCACGCACGACGCACATATGCCAATAAGAAACTAATCAATTGCAGTTCTAAACAACAATGATAAACATCAGTGGTAATGATACCTATAAGTATTGTAGTTAATAAGATGCATTCAAATTATTTTTTCCATTAATATAAAATATCTTTAACTATAATTATCATTTCAAAAAAGGGATATGTACCACAGAAATTAAATAACAAACTTGAACCAGTCAAAAACTATTGGATATTTGTTTCGTACTAGACAAGTATGATGTATTTTTTAACTGTTATTCGAACACTTCTAGTTATTGAAGAAATTATTTGTTCAACAATCAAGTGATTATAATTAAAAGTATTAGTTCATTGTGGTTTGATGACAATAACAGTTAGTAAAATGTATAAAAGCTACATGGAAATCATAAGGACTTACAAAACTATCTTTTTTCCAAATTTTCTAAGTTTTAATAAAGTAATGGCTATGATTGGAGAATTTAATCGAATTCTTAGTAGATTTTCGGTTTATAAATAGATAATTTGCTAGTCAGTAATCAAATAGTAGTTTGACTGGGTTAAAACTTCTATAATTTATTAAAAGATCATTTATCCTGTTACGTCAACAATGAAATCATGATTCAATTCACATCGTACAAGATTATGTTCGCCCATCTAGTTAATTTACAAATTGGATATGTATTTAATTTACCTCACGTATCATGTACAGATTCTTGCACTGTGTTTCGAGCCACATTCTAAACATGAGGGTTGGTGATACTATTCATTTACCCAAGCTAAAATAGGTGAGGTCAGTTTCAAACTTGAGAATTAGTGGATTAAAATTAAACACCTCAACCACTTATCCACCTCTCAGTCATAGATAATATTTCCAAAAAAGTCATTCACACACCAAACATAAGAGTTTGTCTAAAATACTACCTGACAGAAATTTATTAAAGAAAACAATATAAATATGTTAATCTTACTGTTTCTGCTAAACTGTCTGAGGAGTAATTCAAATTGTTTTGTGATACAGCTAATGAATTTTTTTTCATCGGTTTTGGAGGCTTTGATTCCAGTTTTTTTATTGACGGCGGGGATACAGAAGATTGACAACGACGTATTTTAACTATTCGTTTAGACACTTTTCTCTTTACTTTAGTATATTTGCTTTGAGCAGATAATTTAGAATTGTCTAAACTTGGACAACTATTTGTTTTAACACATGTAGATGCAGGTTTCAAATAATCATATCTATTTTCATTGATACTACTTGAATCAGAAACAAGTAAACTGCTAGAATCCTGTAAGTTTGGAGCCAATTCAAATGAATCTTTGTCTCTAGTTTGTTCATAGATAAAGCAGTGGATAATTGGAAAACAATTATGCACGTATATATAAAATTAGTATAAGGGATTTGTGAAAATTGTTAAGTATCAATGTTTACATTGTGGACTAACCTCAGTTAGACAACTACTGAAAACTGGGAATTATTTAAGAAGTGACGTTTTTTTCTGGTATGCGATTCCTCAATAATGAGTATCCACGAAGCCACTGGGGCTATAATCCAGGACCTTCAGGTTACACGGTGAGTCCCTGAATTGCAGACCAATGAATCGGAATCCATTAATGCATACGTCTAACTTCAGTCATTCGGAGAAATGGCACAACCATCCTCCATAACATACATGTCTATCAAAATCTCTCGCAGCGACTCAGATGCATATATGCCTTGTATTCTCCTAGATTCATATTACGCAACCTAGAAAGCTATGATATGAACTCAAAATATTTGACTGTTGTCAATCTCAGTGTACAGTGATAAAAGAGAATATAGAAAGTAAGTAGAAGAGCTTTTTTGAAATACAAGTATTGAGTATAAAAGACTTTGGAGCAAATCGTCTCGTGTCAAACCTGTAAGACACGGTTGCATCGATCCAGGGAAATCCAATTGCAGATATTAGTTAAGTAATATTGTCAACATAGTCGTCTGTTTCATTTTACACTCATAAGTAAAAGTTGATTTAACATTCGAGTCAGTTTTCATCGGAGGCAACTGAAATAATATAAGCTTAAAATTGACCACTTTTACGTGGCACACTTCAAGTGCTCTAACGTATTTCAAAATGCAGTAATCAGTAACTAAATTAAATTATTAGCAAAGCGCTAAACAATATTGAACTTTATTAACGGCAACAAAATGATTCGGTAATACAACAGGTTGAAAACAGTCATTGTGAATTTGTCGACCTAAATATCATAGATGCTGAACTCATCTCACATATGCAAAATCAGAAAACTGACTATCGACCGTATAATGATCAACTTTAAAGTGGAAAATATCAATAAATGCTTATAAAACGTTGAAATCACTCAGATAAGTACTCATATACGAATAGTTGAATTTAATAAATATGTATGAATATGAACGAAAACGTTGATGAAACAATATTTAGTTTCCTAAGTTAATCCTCAAAAACAAAATTGAATTGAAGACAGATGAACCTCTAATTCATTCCAAAAGCTTAATCAGTGATTTAAAAACGAAATATTTTATGTTAATTCTTTTATTACGTAATATAAATTATTCATTCACGGTTATTGTCTTCTAACTGTCTAAAAAGAATCAAACTTTTCTCAAGGTCATCCGGGAAGTTACATGAATTCAAAACTAAATCTTTAATATTTTTTTCCTAAGCTTGTAAATCTATGACTGTTATAGTGTATACTACTTATATCTGTTGACATAAGTAGGATGCGGTGACAATTGGAAGTGTAAAACCTTGCAGCAGAAGGTTGAAATGATCGAATAAAAGAGAATGGAATCAGATAATAATAGTTGATGGAAGATTTATAAATGAAGTATTGAATGTGTGGTTTTACATTTGATGAAAAAACTTTATAATTTTGTATAAGAATACAATCGGTTATCCTCCTACTTCTGTTTTCGTTCACAGTACTTAATAAAACTATGTCTGAATTCAAAACTTACATTCCTACATCATTTACCGCCTCCTATAAATAAGAAATTATAACTAACTATCAATCAATTTAATTAAACAAATTTTAAAGATAGAATTTTAGAAGCTTTAGATATTCGACATTTTCATATATATATATATATATATAACTCCGCCTGGAGTCCCTCCGGAGGCTACTGCCGGTTCCTAATCCGGATAAAGGAGTAGGGTCGAGCGTGGGGCTAGTGACCCCATCCCGTAGAAAACTAACTCGCTAAAAAACGGTAACCAGCAAAACATTATATAAACAAAAATAGAAGCCTACTAAAAATAATAAATATTATTAAATAATACACTGATGTTTATGATGTAATAAAAGAGTATACTCTTTTATTTAATTTACTTACAGATATTTATTTAACCAATTAAATTGTTGTTGTAAATTATTAGATAATGATATTATATCATCATTTAAATAGAAATGTATTTGATTCTTTGACATAATTGTTAATTCTGGTACAGATAAACAATTTGATTGTTTTATAGAATATTGAATAAGCAATTCATAAAATTCTAATGTATCATCAATATTGAAAAATTCCAATAATAAACTTGTAAATTGTGATGATCCATAAGAATTATTTATCTGATGAAATAAAATAATATTCAATAATTCATGTGATATAAATAATTGAAGTAAGGAAAAACAAATATGGTTGAAAAACATATAGAACTTAAAATAACTGTCAACCAATATCAAAGTCATAATCTTCAATATGAATGTCAAGACAGTTCTACTGTACGGAGCGAAAACTTAGAGGACTACTACAACCATCATCAAGAAGGTACAAGTATTTATAATTAGTTGTCTACGTAAGATACTCAACACATATTTGTCGGATACCATCAACAACATCCTGTTGTGGCAGAGAACAAATCAGCTTCTAACTGAAGAGGAAATTAGGACATGACGACGACGGAAATCACCAAACTAAATCACGAAGTAACCACTAACTTGGAATCTTGAAGGGAGGCGGAAAAGAAGAAGATCAAGAAACACAGTTCGTCGGAGATTGGAAGCAGAGATAAAAAGGATGAATAAGAACTGGAAAGAACTGAAAAGAATTGCTTGGGACAGGGTTGAATTGAGAGTGCTTGTGGGCGGCCTATGCTCCTCCACGAGAAGTAACAGGCGTAAGTAAGTAATGCTATTTGATGTAGACAAGGTAAACGCGTCAACTTATGTTAGTGGTATAGCAAAAAGATAAATTAGACGACAAAATAATTTATGGATAAACCAATTAGCTTTATGATAACAGGTATTGAATTTTGGCACGAAATTCATTTATCTATTTTGTTAAATAGCGTTTTCGGGTTTTATTTGATGTTAGTTAATGATGAAAACCCCAAGTCAAATTCTTAACCCTAACTATGAACTATAAATCAGAATCCTTATTCTTTACACAGGTTTATAAACCTCATTTAACCATACTACGTAAATGGACATTCTCAAGGTCGCTTTAGCGTCTCTGAAATGTCGTCCATCAGTTATAGTGTCACCATATTACTTTTAAACATTCAAAATTTCAGCGATTTAGACAAAATTATGCTATCCAAATTTTTTTGGATGATAACTGGTAAAAGTAATATGTCTAGCTCGAATACATTCTCTCGAAAACCATTTTTAAGAATCCAAAAACCAATTCAGTATTATTATCAAGGTTTAATTTGATAATTTTAAATAAATAGAGCATAAAGTTATCTGTTAATAATTAAAAAATCAGTGATATATTTGTAATATTCTAATGAGTTGATTCCTGTTCTTTCGAAATTCATTATGAATTGCTTCTTTAAGTAATAAATAAATATCGGTATGGAGATTCGTGGATTTGTAGTATTTTCAAAGTTCAGTTCACGAGTCAAAATCACCATCCCGTACGTAGGATCGCCGATGTGCACTGTTGAGAAGTCCCATACTAGGATGAAACGACAGTCCTGTACTTCCAGGTTTTCACTGGTGGTCTAGCATAGATCGACTCGTGAACTCAACTTTAAAAATAAATAAATAATCAAATTCAATTATTATAAATTTAAATACTTGAGTGGAATAAGTCAAAATTGTTAGTACAATTAAAACAAGTTTGAAAGTACTAATGTTATATTATTCAGGTCAAGCGCAAGACAATAAGTGTATTTGTTCGTGTATTTATTAGTGAGTGTGAAAGAATGTGATATTTGGGACTAGAAGTAGAGCCAATTTGTTCGTTTGTTACCGGTGTGATATTTAAGCGGAATAAATATGGTTTTTCATATTAATTTGATGGATTTAAAAAATAGCATGTAATGTTAATGACGAAATAGGTTGTGGATCCTTAAATTTCATAGGATTATTAAGTCTTTTTGTGTAGCTTTGATATTGCCTGGGAAGAGTAAAGGTTACACTAGAAGACTTTCCTTAGATAGAACGCATCATATTTGACAAGTTAACCTGTAGACACAGTTCTCTATAAAATTAATAGGAATCTTGTCTTTTTATTGACCTAATGCATTTCGAAGAATGATGACAGTTTTAAAGGATCAGTAAATTGTGAAAGTAATTCGACAATAAATCACATATTTTTACTAGAATAAAAGACTGACTGTAGGATAAATACCATTCAACTTTCATCTGATACTAATCTAGTTTAATCGGAGTTCAGCTGATATTTCAATATACCATAAAAAAGATACACTAAGCAATAAATAATTTCAATAGTTGATATGATGAGTCAATTGAAGCTAGACCACCATGGAAAATCTAGAAGCACTGGACGGCCGTAACTGTTAAGCTTGATAGACATCAAATTACGTTTAAATTATTAGGTGTCTATGTAATATCTAACAAAATTTTCAACTATCAGTCTATTCTGATAAAATAGATTTTCTTTAGTAGGTGATAGGATTAAAAAGTACTTTTCTTATATTTTTTTATTATAACAAAATAAGAACAGATAGATATCACAATTCACAAGTTTCTTTCAGCTGATTAAAGTACAAACAGAAATGGGAACAGTTGTTTTTAAATCCTATAAATCTACTCAATAGTAAAGGTATTTAAATATTGTACAATTTCGGGTGATATATTGAAACTATGTTGAGAGAAAAATGTTTTTGTTCATACTTTATTTGAGCTAATAACTGAGAAATGCACGTTTAATGTATTCATTATATCTTGCGTACATGGTCTAGATCAAGTTTAACAGAAATAAAATGTTTATAATTCCCGTTTATATATATATATATATATATATATATATATATATATATATATATATCACATACAATGTGATGGTAAGACTATTACATAACCTTAGTTTTACAGAATAACAATTCTTAAATATGTGAAAGAGTACATTGATTAAATGTACAAACTATATTTCATCCACTAGAAGTAAATTCATTGACTAGTGAAAACGTAAAGGTGTATTGAACTAGATGGCCAACATAACATGTTTTGTATTGTCTCAACTTATTTTATAATATTTCATACACTGAATAAATGTTTCTCAAAAAGAATTTTCATATTTCTTTTTTATTACACTTATTAATTGTATCGATACATACCATGATTTTTTCTCATAAACTATCAATAAAATTATAACCGGTTGATTAATCACAATAAATGTTACATGAAATCTGATATGTAGGCACAAACGATTTTGTAATTTCAAAGAAAAATCAATAAATTATTATTTCCTATATACATCCATACAGCTAATACAAACACTTTGAAACTATCCACCTTTCTTGTTCTGGAACGTTAACGTCACAAATCAGTATAATTTAAAAATCTAATCGATATCCAATAACACCGGCAGATAATTGATTCATTCAATTTCCGAATTGTTAAACAATATTATATACACTTATTTTACAACTTCGTTTATTGATCATCTTGAAGCAGATATAAAACGGTGGTATAATTTTTCTCGTGAAGGTAGTACATCTTTATCAGTTGAGGTGGTTGTAACATCTGTTGCACATATCCAATCACCAACTACCTCAATATGCGATATTTTCTGATGTAGAAGTAGGTTGGAAGAAAGCTGGTGGCGGCTAAACCAAGACATTGCACCAGTTCACGAAATCATTGATAATTAGATTGATCTATGTCAATATGTTTAGACTACCTGACTGAGGTCTGCGTGATTATCATAACTAGTAGTTAAAGACTTTGAATGATATAGCTCAAAATTGTTTGCAAAGGCAAATATGCCTCCATTCTCTGTCTTTCTATAAATCTTAAGCTTCTAAATTCACCGTAATTTCCTTTTATTTCATCTCAATAATTTATATTTTCCCGTATCATATCTTCAATACCATTACTACTGTTACTAACTCTACTACTCTAGGATTTACCCTAACAGATGTGTGGGTGAGAATGATAATGATTGATTGTCTGATTAGTCGGACATGTAGATAGTCTGACAGGTATCAGATGATTTATATATTCCCCTATCCTTATTATTATTACTACTCACTTATTACTGATTGTTCATTGTTGTTGGATTGTGTCGGGTTTTGGTGTGGAAATATATTTACGTTGTAATCAGGCTAATCACATGTTCTTGATCTGAGTTGTGTTGAATTCCTGTAGAATATACACTGGGAGGGAATTTAGTGTAGATATTCATCTAAGGTAAAATAACGTCCTATACGTGCAAACGTGGAAATCCAATCGTTATAACATTAGTCGAAGTAAAAACCGAGCGTTATAACACTAACATTTTCGGTTTTTTTTTGATAAAACGATTTAAATTATTCTTTTGAAAATAAAGTTCACCTAACTGATAATAAATTGCCGAAAGATATTGTACAGAATTTTTCTTTTAAAAAAAGGGTATCTATCGTTTTTCAATGTCTAAAAACCTAAAACAAAAGGTTTTTCATTATAAAAAAAACTTACACGACATTGTGATTTCCCATTGTCTACTTTCATTTGATTATCATTAAAATGTTTTAATGAATCTACATGACCAGTCAAAATAGATTCATTATCATAATTTATATTATTATTATGATTATGATTATTCTTTAATGATGGATTATGTTGACTTTTATTTATAGGATTCAAATTTTCAGGTATTAATAAATTATTTTGATGATTATGATTGAATAACCATCGTCTACCAGTTACACAAATATGATCAGGTTCATCTAATCAAGTATAAACACAAATAAATAAATACTGTAAATGAATACTGTATTTACTGATAAGATAAAATATTACATCTATTAAAATGAATATTGAATGAATTAAAACACTTAATTATAATAAGGAGTAGAATAGGATTAAAATGCAAGAGATCAGTTTCATCTTATATAGAATTTTACAGATTTGTCAAATTATATCCCACTGTTGATGTTCACATTGAGAGGTAAATAAAGAAACTTACATTTCCATTCACAATGCATTAATCACTGAGCTATTGAGTTCAAAAAGTTGGCAATTTGTTCAACAGGTATGTTGTTTATAGAGTTAATACAAAGGATATAATGATCACGTTATTGAGATTTCCAAATAGGATAAAATACGCTTACTGGATTACATTGTTAGCCATAATTCGTCTCTCATAAAAAGCTCGTAATAAAATTCCCATAACCGGTGGAATCCTAATTGGATATGCATATTCTAAAAAGAAGTGATCAAATTTCTGTCCGAATTCAGCAATGGGATAGTGTTACGGTTAACATAACAAAGTGACCTGATTTAAATAGCCATTGGAAGCAGAGAAGCATTAAATGGTTATTTCTTCCTAATATATCAGTCTTCAACTGCGACCGTTGACAACCCCATAGAAGATAGAGCCCACGATCTTTAAGCCCCTGGTAAGATTGTAGATGGGCACTATTGAAGACTCCCATAATAAAATAGTTGTTTAGTTCTTGCTGACTTTTCAACGGCTGTTTAATCATATACAGTTTGTAATGCTAGCTATAAAATCCAAAAGTTTTCACAAACCTACTGTATAATAATGGTATAATTTAGACACTTATTAACGATAATAGGAGCAAAAATAATTAATTGCAGATTATCTAGTGCTCCATAGATCTTATATTAACTAATTAGGTTTTCTATTCCTTTCAATCTTGATTTCTTCATACACAATTTTTGTGTTATTAATCTATTTAATCGTAATTCTATTTTTTTAAAAAGAACTTAACTAGGTAACATAGGCAACTTGTAGAACTAATTTTTATCAATATTTACAGCAACTAAACCTTGACGTTCAACTATCTTAAATAATTACCCCCCCCCCAAAAAAAGAAAAGCCTAGAAACTATAACCATACCAGTTACTAACCATAAATATTTAATCAGTTCATAGACTTTCATATTAAGCTTTTCTTTTATGATTGATATTATGGAAGCTATTTTTTTTAAAGAAAGATCTACAATACTAATATATTTTGTTCATTTAACTAAATACAATTAAGTATTATAAAAATATACGAATAATCATTGATTGTCAATTCTTGAATAATATCCAAGTAGTGTATAAGTTTCCTTCTTCATTTTTATTCACAATTAAATATTAAATCAATGATTAAGTAGAAAGTGCTGTGTTTTCAATGTAACCAAAAAGGAATAATGGAATCGATTGGTAAAAAGACTAAGTTCCATCTTTATAAAATTAATTAATTTAATTAATGAAACCAAATTTTTAAAACATACCACATTAACAAAAGCATTTAAGTAACTTTATAATATCTATCTTATATTAAATTACATATTATTCTGAATACTTCAATAAACAAAACATTAGAACTAAATAATAATTGAGAAGATTTGTAACTTAGGTAGATGTTTTTACAAATGTTAAATTTTCTTAGGTAGAACGATTTAAATACTGACTTTTTTATTGTCACTTTAAACAACATTCTCAAATCAGCTTGACAATAAAAGTTCAACAATTAAACCATCTAGTTCAGTGCGTTGACCAACATCAAGAACTTAATAATCTTATAACATGATATTTTGTGAATATAGAGAACAAGAACGAAGATTGGTGCAGAATAATATGAATTCATTATATTTCGTTAGATTATCACCAGCTGCTTACAACCTATAATATTTGAAAATCAACGTTTTTACAGATATTGATATACTTATACATACGTGAGTGATTAAGGATGAATATGTGTATCATGACGTAGTGATGATTCCGATAGAGTTAATGAGGTCATAGAAAATTTGTTTCGGACCAATAAAGTTTGGAAGGAAAAAACGTCTAAAACCAGATCTATGTTTACAAAAGAAAGAGACAGTAATAAATATTTCTTTCCTCTGTTAACGTTAAACCCTCTTTTCATTTATTACGTCATTCACCCCTTCAACTCTTTCAGAAACTTAAATTACGTCACTGTCATTTCCTTTAATTCATAACTAACTGATTTCAATTCAAATCTTTCTTTATTGCCATTATTCTATTTTTTGGTGCTTCATTATACAATCATTTATTGCTTGTTAACTCCATGAATTCTAATCATTATTTCAAAGATTAAGAAGTTTCCCTTCCAAACTTTATTGGTCCGAAACAAATTTTCTATGACCTCATTAACTCTATCGGAATCATCACTACGTCATGATACACATATTCATCCTTAATCACTCACGTATGTATAAGTATATCAATATCTGTAATATCGTTGATTTTCAAATATTATGGGTTGTAAGCAGCTGATGATAACCTAACGAAATAAAATGAATTCATATTATTCTGCACCAACCTTCGTTCTTGCTCTCTTTAATATAATAAAGGGAACTATGTGCATGAAACTTTGTGAATAGTTAATACAAAAGAGAAATTAGATAAACTGACATATTCTTAGTCATTTACAATATTGTAAATGTAAGCTTATAGATTTTAAATAAGGACTATTTAGTTTTCAGTTAAGGGTTGTGAACAGTGTTAAATTTGATTGAAATCATGAATCGATCGATTTTAAACTACCATTGAAAACTTGAAAGCATTGGACAGCCGTTTCGTCCCAATATGATTCAAACCCAGGACCTTCTGTCTCGCACGCTAATGCTTAACATCTAGACCAGTGAGCCAAAATCCGACGGTTTATTGTCCAACTTCAACAGATGCTTCCAAGTTTTCGATGGTACTCTAACATTGGTTGGTTCATAATTTTGATAATACTATTTAATTATTTATTCAATCCCGAAAGTCTAACTCCAATATTAATTAGTTATTCCGAGGTTCTTTAAACATAAGAATGTGACGAATCCTATATTTCTTTATGCAATAATAAAATTAAGTGTTTTCAGTACATTAGGATACTTCACCATGTACTTAGATCTTTAATTTTAAGAAATTATTCCAGATCGAAAAAAATTATTACTCAAGCAAAGATTTGGCCAGTAAATACATCAAACTTTATTGTCCTCCACAATAAATCTGTCCAATAGTATATAATCTATCAACAATTCTCTCAATCTCGGTGTGGTGTTACAATATATCAAGTGTTTAATATACAAGTGACTGATTTTTTATTACATGAACATAATATTTATTACAAGTTGAAATTAGTCGGCAGACTACTTAGAATTCGGAGATTTTTAATTAGTGCACAGTCATGACGCAATATAGCACGAAAATGAGAATTTCATTATATTCATAACTGTGTTAAATGTGCTTTTCAAACCCTAGTATTTATTAATACTACTGAAATGATACAATAAGACTTCTTTTAAATAATCCACTTTAAAGGAGATATTTTTCATGGGACGTATGACAACATTAAATGAATCGGGAATTTTTAGATTTTGATAGATAATGTTGCATTCCTAAATTATAAAATGGAGTATAAATAACGTTAGTTGGTATACATATTTATTGTAGCAGCTAGCACTGTTAGATACCTGCACGATTTATCTTGATTTTTGGACAGATGATTTATTCTAATGTTCTCAGTCATTTCGTCATTCTCATGTGTAACCTTCAGTATGTTTGTATTATTATGTGATGTGACGATATTTTAAGATCATTCATGCCTTTGAATATTGAGTTGCATTTTAATTGAGTTGGCGATTTGACCTTCGCCATCTCTCATCTTAGCGTCTTTCTGAGTATGTGAGTATACGAAATAAAGCCATCCAGCTTAATTCGCATTTGACGTTTTATCACCCCCGTCACCCAAACAAGGTTAGCCTAAGTAGAACGTACGATATATATATATATACGTGTATTTATTCAGAAAATTAGTCCAGAAATTTTAACCACAGTCAGTTATTCCAGAACTAGTGATTTAGACTATTTGTTTCAAAAAACTACAAAAAGCAGTTATAATGTTAACGTTAATTAATAATAACTAATAAGTAACTTACCTACCTCACAACTGAATTCATCGTTCAACAGAATTATATCACGTAATATCAGACCTGTTTGATTCAAGTTTGAATTTTGTGATCGAATGAATATGAAAATGCTGAAAACAATAAACGTATAATCAATAAAAGGTGCATGTAAGTTGTTACAGAAACTAACGGAAAATTATCTAACACAAAGTAAAGTAAGTTTATATAAATAAGATCCGTTTCTCTTTCAAAACTACAAATTCCAAACTTCAAAACGTGGGTAACAGCTAACTATTTCGCTCACAGGTCTGTGCAACAATAAAACGAATTCTTTGATCAAGCCTGTGTCATTGTCTGCAAGTCATCGAGTCAATAATTGACACTCATTAGCTATTTTATAAAACGGAGTAAATAAAAAAGTGATCTAAGCAGAAGGGATGTTCCTAAAACAAAATTGTTTGACTGGCTGATGTTTACTGGCTTACAATAACAGCTGGCCACGCAATTAAAGTTTCCTGGATGTGATCACGGGGAAATTTGTGGATACTTACTTTGATAAAATATTCATTCAGTCTTCTAGACCATGGCATTTTTGAGAATGGTATTATATCATATGTCCAATTATAACTACTTTGAACCCTCAAACTTAGTTGTCTGCAGATAACAGTTATATAAATGGACATATGATCATTCAAATATTCAGATCATGAGTATCAATAAACAACCTGGACGAAATTCAAAACGCAGTGTGAAATCGGTGTTGTTAAAGCCTTAACTACAACCAGAATGAAGTTACTTTTCTTTCCTATTGTACTGATTTGTAGTATCCTATAAAATATTGCTTTATATTACCACGATACATAAACCTTTTTTGACTTATTAAAACCTATTAAACTTTACACCATTCCACATCAGCTTTGCTTTGCGTTGAACCATTGCGTTGCACGTAGTAGATGTGAAGCTTTAACGATAGGCGAAAAATCACAGTAAAAGGAATAAAAAGTAACAATTTAATATAAAGATATAAATGACGTATTTGCAAGAAAAAATAACTCTGAAAATCAAGACGATAGAATCAATCATACTTTTAAAAACAATTTATTTCCTAAGTTTTAATTGGCGATTCTGGTTTTTGGAACACGATTATTTCTGTAGAGGAATAATATGTTGGTGAAATGCTATAAGGCCAAATTAATCTATCATTTGCGTAGTAAGGCTGAAAACAGTCTCATCAAGACGGATTCCTCTAAGTATTTATGTTTAAAGCATTTAGTCAAAATAAAATAGGATATTACATCAGGTTCATCTTGGTCTGAAATAGAAATTATGAAAAAATAGTAAACAAAGAGATTCTTTTAAAAGTCACTTTGAGAGGAGTTATTGTCTGGACATATTCAGACATACGCGCTTTGTTTAGAAGGTTGATTTTGAATGACGGATGCAATAAAATTCAGATGTCTTCCGTACTCGTTAATATAGACAGGGAACGCCTAGAAAGAAAGCAACATAAAAAATAAAATATGGATATTTGTCAAACCAAATGAATAAATCTTACAGTATTGGTCAAGTTTTAATGCCCTCCTTGTTCGCTTATAAATTCTGTCATCCGTTATGCAGATTTTGTAAGAATGTTTACTCGGATGCTATTGAGGATTTGTAGACGATTTATCAGTACGATCAGTATTCCTGTTGATTTATTAAGCTTCTTTAAACTTAATACCACTGTCAAAAGGAACATTCATGAAATTCAAATGTTGTAACATCAAACTTTTCGGTTACCAACTAGATTTCATGCTACCACGATCTCTATGATGACTAAGTCTACAAACTAAAATATCAATTGTTATACTGATAGGGAGGTGGAAGTTTGTATATCTTCTGATTGCTGAAAAGTTTATGATAGAATTACAGACAAGTAAAAACCGACTACTTTATAAGGTTGTAATATATTTCGAACAGTTTTCGACTATTAATCACAGTCTTTCGAGGACTAGATTTGATTCATTAAAACAACGTTCGTCCCGTTTATTACCAACGGTGAATGATAATCATTATCTCCGATTATTCCTTTTTAAAGGCAACTAAGTTTTCGGAATGAATACTAGAGAAACAATAATGGAGGGATAAACTGTATAAGCAATAAAAATTTCGTTGCTAACTAAACTATCATCAGCATCACTTATTTTGAAGTGACACAATGTCAATTAAACCGGTCAAAGATACAAAACTCCACTTTTTCAATCAGTTAGCTATAAACTAAATGTGAAAGAATATGTACAATGCTAACTTTCAATGCACACCCCATACATACTTTCAGAAACCATTAAACCACACCTCAAACTGATTTAAACTTGTAAAACCATATCTGTAGCATCAAAATTATTCCAATTCTCCTGCAAGTGTTCAACGTAAACACATTATACGTCGAAACTATGCAGATACGCGTAGATCTCTACGCTAGATATATCAGATATGTAATTAAAATATAAGAGATGTGAAGTCAAACTTTTGTTATCCGTCTAAGTGGCTGATTAGTGGTTTAATAGATGGCAGGAATATTTATATCTACAAACAATCAGTTTCCGAAAGCTAGTTAAGTTGTAGAATGAATATCACTATTTCACTTAAGTATGAAATTATTATTTCATAATTATCAAAATTATTATCAAAACGTAATCCAATAAGTCTTGATGAATTAAAGACAAAATTCTCTGTAGATTAGGCAAACAGGGCAACAAGCAACTGTAACTTCAACAAACTTCTGTAAAAAAATAGCTAAAATAAATCTTTTTAGAATAACTACGATATTCGATATGTCACTTGGTCAGCGTGAGTTACCTATGAACTGGAAGAATGTAGTTATCCTTTTAATAAATAAAACAGGATTAACACAACTCTCGTCCAACTACAAACTTGTCGGCCTCATCAGTGTCGTAGAAAAAATGCTGGAAATAATAATCAAAAGACTACAATGTCATTCGTGGAACCCAACGAACAACATGGTCTCAGAAAAAGTTATTTTGCACAACAAATTTCCTCGTAGCAAGAAAGAAATAGATTGAAGCTCTGGATAATAGATAAAGACTAGATTTTGTCTACATAAACTTCAGAGAAGCATTTGATAAGGTGCCAAAATTAGATTACTCTTGAAGCTGGAAAATCTAGGCATTATCCTACCTCTCCTAATATAGCTTAGGGGTTTCTTGGCAGGTTGTAGAGAGAAAGTAAAAACAAATTACAAGTGCTCCACTTGAAAACAAGTACGTAGTGGAGAACCACAACGCTCTGTTTTAGGTTATTTACTTTGTATATCGTATGTAAATGAACTCTCAAGTAGAATTGATTCCCAGCTGCTACTGTGCGCTGATGACGTGAAAAATCTAGAGTGAAATAACAGGAGACACAGATGCCTGTACACTTCAGGCGGACTTAGAAATTCTGATTAGCGGATCTGAAAAATTGGCTGATGCACATCAACACGGTCAGGTGTGTCTGCATGTACTTTTGGGATACAATGGTAAATAAGTACAGTATAGACGAAGTGCCTGGGGTGACAGCAGCTCATGTAATTGTGGCCACGGCCTACTGATATGAGATCACCGATAAGAGGTTCGAAACCCTGTGAGCATTTAACAAGTTAGGTACTATCATGTTCATTACAGTACACACAACCTTAGTGGTAACTAAACTTGAAAACTGAGTCCAGAATCCAGACCTCTTCACTCTCTCCTATCTCAGATTAAGAGGTGACTTGACGATGATGTATGAAATATCAAGAAATATTTGTGAGTCTGATATATCCTCTCTTCCACCTAATAAGTCTGGACAACTCAGGGCACATCGCAGGTGAGTAGAAAAGCCAAGAGCGAACAAAATATCAGTGGCATACAGGTTTTCGCTCTGAGTTAACAATTCTTGGGACCTGTTACCAGAGGCAGTGGTGTCCGCACTCACACGTGAGTAATCCACTAGACACCAACAGGAACATACTATAAGAAGAAAAACATAGGTTTTCTGCTTTTGCTAAACAAATCTGAATGTAAATGTGACTATGAAATCAACTAACAGACAGGTGAGCTTCTAGATAAACAGAGTTCGTTCTTATGACTAAAGATAATATGACTGACTCTCGATAAGCATTGTCTCCAATTTTCGATTCAAAAAGCAGGATGCATGATTACTCTGTACAAAAACTGAGCAAATACTGAAGAATCTTGTTTTGCAGGAACTAAAAAACATTTTTACCCAACACTACAATGAATGACGAAAACTATGGTTTTACACATGCATGTATTCACCTTATTGACTGCCTTCAAGATGCAGCAGTAGAAAACATCCATCTTAAGTTGTCAATGAGATTTTAACCGAGTCGTTATCACGAAAATTCATGACAATAAAATTAGGTACATGTACTCACTCATTATTGAATTAAAATTATGGGGAGATTTTACGAAACCCAACCAGAAATGTCTGATATAAGAAACCAATAAATACTAAGAATAACTCACGACGTTGCACAAGTCTTCTGATTCTTCCAATTTGCAATTCTTTAGAGATAACTTGTCACTAATAACTTGATGACTCCTCTCTGACTTATTGTGATTAGAAAACGGTTCAGATGCACTAAAAGAATGCAGATTCAAATACTTTTGTACAGTGCATGATAAGGTACTTCCAAAAGCCATTAGGTTCACTTAAAGATCAATCCCAAGATTGTACACGTTAAGTCGTTACTCTATTAAATTTCCTCAACATGTTCAATATACACTGTGTTTGATCAATATCCAATATCTCAAGGAGCGTGTATAAACTGTCAGATTCATTTCCTCACGCTTCTCTTTGTCAATTTATGGTTCTAAATCGTCTATAATAAGCTTATATCTCTAATAGTGTGCATTTAAATTGAAGGTACTCTATGTGCGGGTATAGTACTCAGGCTAGTGTTTCTTAGGAATTCAGAGAAACAGACGCACCAGCGAGAGGCAGAATGTATTTCGAATGCTTCTAACAGAAGTCAAAAGCAGCAAGGAATGAGGGCAGAATGGCAGTGGCGAATATAAGTGAGACTGCAAATGTATTACAATAATAACTAATTTACCATTTGCATATGTATCGATGTGAAAAGTCAGTTCTACGTCCTTTTTATTTAATACAGACAGTTTGACTTTTCAGTTGCGCTAATGATAGTAATTTTAAAGGCTCTTGGAAACTAGAGTATTTATAGGGCATTTGATTCATTTAGGCGATTTAATCCAGGGGCAGTCGCTCCACCCGCTATCATCCTAATGTTGCATCTAATGGCTAGATCGACTTCTTTTTTTTGATGAACTAGTGAGGTTGGTTCAAGCTGACTCAATGCACCATTTTTGTTACATCTTTTTATTTCTGGGTAATGGAATGATACTGCCTAAACTTTTCAGAGGTCGAGTTTCAAGTTGATTTTTCTGTTTACCTTTCCATTATCATCACGTCCATTATGAACTCCTTGAAATTATCTAAATTTAAATGACTTTTAGCATTTTTATTTTGTTTGCAAAGACTTTCTGGGTCTAGACAATGAGTTTTAGAAACGAACAGAGGGGAACATAACGACATCAAAAGATGTCTCTGCAACGCTGTGAGCTTTAGTGTTGTACACATGTCCATGTACCTTCGGTCCCTGGAGTTAGTTGTAACTGAACCAGACGGCGTGCCTGTTTTTGCTGCACCATCCTAATTTGTGAGTTGACGCAACTTGAAGTTAAATAACAGAATTCGCTATGATCCTATTAGGTTACTGGAACTAGGTTCTGTCATATGTCTGTGTTTTCACCCACAATAGCGCAAGGTAAAGGACTAGGAATTTTTAGAAGACTTAAATTTAGGAGCATTAAGAAAGAATGTTATGTCGTCAGTGAACAATCATTTGAGTGTAATTCGTCATTATACATCAAAGTCATTGACTATGAGAAGACGTTTGACAATATGGATAGAAGAATTTTATGGGACCTTCTTCGACACTATACTGTACCTCAGAGATCGTCACCATAATACAATATTTCTACGAAGGAATACATTGAAAAGTCGTACAAGAAGAACAGCAGACAGACGCATTCCAATCTTAATCGATGGAGGAACTATGGAAGAGGTAGAAAATACCACGTACTTGAGCAGGATCATCAATGAACAGGGAGGATTTGATGTAGGCGTAAAGGCAAGGACTTGCAAGGCATTGACAGCACTCCTACATTTCAAGAGGAAATGGAGTTCAAAAGGATTGTCAATCAACATAGAAGCCAGAATCATCAGTACGAATGTTAAGACAGTTCTGTTGCACGGAGCCGAAACTTGGAGCATTAATACAACCATAATCAAAAAGATAGAAGTATTTACAAAATGCTGTTTACGTAAGGTATTCAATGTCCATTGGTCGAATAACTTCACTAACAACCTACGGTTGCTTCGAGCTGAAGGTAAATTAGGAAAGTACGTTGGAAATGGATAGGACATACATTCAGTAATTTATCAATCTTTATCACGAAGCAAGCCGTAACTTGTTGACGTAAAGTCTATTGTGACAAACTCTACTGTTACAACATTCAAACTCTGACCCTGAAACACACTTGATCCTCTGCATCGATGTATTTCAAAAAGTTGTAGGGATAGTACTGCAATAACGAGTAAGTGACATTATAACACCTACAGCATTTTTCTCTCAACGTCCGTTACCAGCACAAGAACATTATAGCACTTTCGGACGTGCGTTACTAGCCACTGATATGGCGGTAAAACATTTCACTTTCCAATTACACAGACGGTAATTTACGATAATGACCTATCACAATGTCTCATGTTTTTCCTTTAACATGTCATATGATTGACAGTCACCACGTGAAGCGCGGAAACTTAATTACATCTCACAAATTATAACTGACACCCAGTTCATAAAAGGGCACCCCAAATTCGTAGCCGATGCTCTAGGAGGAAAGATATCAATACGCTAGTACGAAAACAATATGTAAACTTCAAAACTATCACCAAATTACAAGTACACGATGTAGACCTAAAATCCTAAAGTTCAACTCCGTTCTCAAATTTATACCAATTCCTTTTTCCGATTTATCAACTATCAGTGATATTTTAAACGGTAATAATGGTCCTATTGTCTTTAAAACTTGCCGACGATGGGTCTTTCAACAAATACACGATCTTTCACATCCTAGGACCTGAGCCACAGGAAAACCTATCGCGGGACGTTTTGTCTGGCCAAAAATCAAAGCGGTTGTAAAGAAGTGGACACGAAACCATAGGAAGTGTCACTGTAGCATGCTCCCACTGCTTACACTAAGCTTCTCTAGGGAGTTTCCACTACCTGATAGACGCTTCCAAAACGTACATCTAAATATTGTTAGTCCTCTTCCACCATAGAACTCTTCATATGTATTCATATTGCTATGGTTAGGTTTACCAGATGAGCGATATCATTTCTTACCAAAGACACGTCAGCAGAAGTTGCATTGGTATTTCCTGACCATTGGATATCAAACTACGGGATTCCATCAATTAATACTAAAGACCACGGTGCTCAGTCCCAGTCCGTCCTATTTTAAGTTTGCCAGACTTTTGGGATTCAACCACACCAGAACAACAGCCTACCTTCCAACAGCGAATGGCTTGGTTGAGATTTCACGGTCAAATGAAAGGCCCGCCATGAGCCCTTCGCGGGGGTGCGGCAGAACTCCGCACACGGACAGTCACCACCTTCGGTTTCGCGGGCAAACGACTAACCTCTAGACTACTGAGTCAGCAACCAACGGCTTTATTGTCTAACTCCAATTTATCCACGAAATTCAATGGACATATTCCACTGTCTTCAGTGGATAATTGCCACATAGTCGATACAGCTCAATTTCACTGGCCACATTTCACTAGAACTCTGAAAATTCTGTCTCAAAGATAATCACTGGGAACACATGATTATTTTCAACACGGGTTGTGGAGCTTGTTTAAATTCATTGAAATATAATTCATGTCATAAACACATGAATAGCCCCTATCTCTTCTTGATGAGAAGAGAACTTTACAAAGTCATCCCTACGAAGGTTTATTGTCACAACGTTAGGTAAAAAAGAATGGAAGAGTCGGGATCCTAATTGTTTGGAAAGTGGATCACCTATGGAACTGCTTCCCATCAATTACAGTTGTATATTTCATTTAAAAACATTTGATGACTTAAGTAAATCAAATTTATTTCCGTCAATAGCCATCACTTGGTCACACATAATATTGCGTATCATCTACCAACCAGTATTCTGTTCCTTAATTTTACCAATAGGCAAATTGTCTCATTCATCAATAAGATACTCTTCTATAACAATAATTCAATAAAAGTGAATCACAAAGCTTCCCCGTTTTACCACGTCAATCTCATATCTAGAAAAATATTTCCATCACTTTGATGCTGTTCTTACTTAACATGACTATATGCAGAAAACAAGAATCACTATCGTATAAACAATAGGACAATAATAATGAATGACGGAACTAGGATTTAACAAGAAAAATAAATCAGCAAAAATAATAAACAGGCAGTATACATGCACAACAGAAGAAACACTCTATGCAAGGCATGAGGATTTTGACTCTCCTTACTTTCTCTATTACACGCACACATCCTCTTTCGTAAATAATGGAATGTCAGTTCATTTAGATATCAGTTGAGATTGACAAGAAATAGGAATGATGAGATTACAAATAATCCTCTTTACATCATGAGATTATTATTTATCAATAATACTATTATTACTAACGTGAAAGAATATTATCATACAGTATTGTCTATTATTATGTAATAACTAATATGGTAATATAATTCATGAGAAAATATCAGCAGTTTGGTATGGCTTCCCTGTATTATTCTATTTTTTTTATAGAAAAACACAGTTCAGGTATACACACAGGGAAAACGCTGAGAATTGTGAAATGGAATTTCGAGGAATGGTTAGTATTATTTATTCAGAAAGACTATAGTAATGTAAAAAAGGAACAAAATAAATTGAAATACGAACGAAGACAAAACTCAGATTGGACGAAGAACAAAATAGATGAGACTACAGAAAAGCAAAAAAAATTTCGTCATCATCGACAAAAACAAAGGTTATGTTTTAGAAAAAGTAAAAATATTATTATCATGAACTAGTGTTGACATGTTGACATTAGTGAAGGATTAGAAATGAAATAATTTTGACGGAGAAAAATGCTAATGAAAGCGGCTCGCTTAAGCTGTTTCATTGCAACAGCACCTTTCTGAGCTGTTGTTGTGTTCGACGATTCAAGAAAGAATATCTCACCAAAACATGGAGCTGTGAAAAAATAGAAAGAAAACAAGGTCAACAAGTGGAACGTGTTAAACAGCAAGAAGAAGAAAGTCAATCACAAGGTTATCAAAGAGCAAATTTCTCTAAAAAACTCAACGACAGAACAGAAGCAACTGACTTGCCAGGTAAAAATTCCAACCACGCTACAAATGTGAGGGATAGAGACGTATTTGACTGATAAATTGAAATGGATTGATCGGAATTCTAACCCGTAACCTAACAGCTCAAAGTCGAACGCTTTCACCGCTGAGACAATCGCTTCATACCGTTGATGTAGTAATTTTGATGTTTGTGAGTTTATATATTAGACGTTAGTGACGTTTGTGAAG